GTTTATCAAGGTTAGGACCTTTGTTAAAGTGCAAAGTAACAACATTTTAGCTATAAGTCAACAACACACTTTCTGCTCTGAAAAATGCACTTAAGCGCTGCACCCAGGTCTTCAAATGTTAGTCGAAACCCTGCTGTTTATTCTGGCATCATGTTGATGGTAAATGGACTGTACTTGTACAGTGGATACGGAAAGTATTCAGACCCCTTTGAATTTCACTTTGTTTCATTGCAGCCATTTGCTAAAATCAAAAAAGTTCATTTTATCTCTCATTAATGTACACTCAGCACCCCATCTTGACAGAAAAAAAACAGAAATGTAGAAATTTTTGCAAATTTATTAAAAAAGAAAAACTGAAATATCACATGGTCATAAGTATTCAGACCCTTTGCTCAGTATTGAGTAGAAGCACCTTTTGAGCTAGTACAGCCATGAGTCTTGTTGGGAATGATGCAACAAGTTTTTCACACCTGGATTTGGGGATCCTCTGCCATTCTTCCTTGCAGATCCTCTCCAGTTCCGTCAGGTTGGATGGTGAACGTTGGTCGACAGCCATTTTCAGGTCTCTCCAGAGATGCTCAATTGGGTTTAGGTCAGGGCTCTGGCTGGGCCAGTCAAGAATGGTCACAGAGTTGTTCCGAAGCCACTCCTTTGTTATTTTAGCTGTGTGCTTAAGGTCATTGTCTTGTTGGAAGGTCAACCTTCGGCCCAGTCTGAGGTCCAGAGCACTCTGGAAGAGGTTTTCTTCCAGGATATCTCTGTACTTGGCCGCATTCATCTTTCCTTCAATTGCAACCAGTCGTCCTGTCCCTGCAGCTGAAAAACACCCCCATAGCATGATGCTGCCACCACCATGTTTCACTGTTGGGATTGTATTGGTCAGGTGATGAGCAGTGCCTGGTTTTCTCCACACATACCGCTTAGAATTAACACCAAAAAGTTCAATCTTGGTCTCATCAGACCAGAGAATCTTATTTCTCATAGTCTGGGAGTCCTTCATGTGTTTTTTGGCAAACTCTATGCGGCCTTTCATATGTCTTGCACTGAGGAGAGGCTTCCGTCGGGCCACTCTGCCATAAAGCCCCGACTGGTGGAGGGCTGCAGTGATAGTTGACTTTGTGGAACTTTCTCCCATCTCCCTACTGCATCTCTGGAGCTCAGCCACAGTGATCTTTAGGTTCTTCTTTACCTCTCTCACCAAGGCTCTTCTTCCACGATTGCTCAGTTTGGCTGGACGGCCAGGTCTAGGAAGAGTTCTGGTCGTCCCAAACTTCTTCCATTTAAGGATTATGGAGGCCACTGTGCTCTTAGGAACCTTGATTGCTGCAGAAATTCTTTTGTAACCTTGGCCAGATCTGTGCCTTGCCACAATTCTGTCTCTGAGCTCCTTGGGCAGTTCCTTCGACCTCATGATTCTCATTTGCTCTGACATGCACTGTGAGCTGTAAGGTCTTATATAGACAGGTGTGTGCCTTTCCTAATCAAGTCCAATCAGTTTAATTAAACACAGCTGGACTCCAATGAAGGAGTAGAACCATCTCAAGGAGGATCAGAAGAAATGGACAGCATGTGAGTTAAATATGAGTGTCACAGCAAAGGGTCTGAATACTTATGACCATGTGATATTTCAGTTTTTCTTTTTTAATTAATTTGCAAAAATTTCTACATTTCTGTTTTTTTCTGTCAAGATGGGGTGCTGAGTGTACATTAATGAGAAATAAAATGAACTTTTTTGATTTTAGCAAATGGCTGCAATGAAACAAAGAGTGAAAAATTTAAAGGGGTCTGAATACTTTCCGTACCCACTGTATAGCGCTTTTCTTGTCTTTCCAACCACTCGAAGCGCTTTCACTCTACATGTCATCATTCACCATTCATACACTGACGACAGGGCTACCATGCCCACCATCAGGACTAACTAACATTCACACCGTAGGCACAGCTACGGGAGCAATTCTGGGGTTAAGAGTCTTGCCCAAGGACACATCAACCAGAGGAGCCGGGGATCGAACCACCGATCCTCTGATTGAAGGACGACCCTGCTCTCCACTAATCGCCCTATTTATATGGCTAAATATTGCCCAAAGGTCAAGTTTCCCCAGTGTTAAGCCTTTTAGTCACAGACATTAGATACAGATTGGAAGGGAGCGCTGAAGAGTGCAGAATGCCTTCCAGTGGGAGCCGATAGGAGTCTTATCACATGAGCCACATCTTTGAGTTGAGACAGAGACAGTTTGTGGTGACAGAGAATGGAGTTTGTGGTGTATGGGGAGGTTAAGCTGATGGACAATTTTAACAGTTAGTGTTGAGCCCTGTTCTTTGAAAGTTTTTTTTCATTATTTTCTAGAAACTGTACTGTATAATATCACAATATAATAGTAGACACTGTGGATGGAGGATTTGATCCATTTCACCACTCCAACCTCTCAAATACAGAAGCTATAATTTTGTATTTTTAAACAAGTGGCCATACAGGAATATGTAATTAAATAGTATAAGATTTGGAAAAGTAATGACTTAAGTCAGGAAAAATTCAATGTTTGTCTTAAACACCCAAAATTTGTGGTGTAACGTATCACTGTTGATCCGTGATCCGTACAGATCCCCCGCTCACGGTTCAGCACACATGTGAACTGCCGATTAATTACACAGTTTAACGTTAACCATCACAGTGTGAAATAAAGTTTTACTGACCTTGTTATCCACCAATATTCAGTAAAATATGTGATCAGGACATCATTTATGCTTTTATAGTGTCTGATCTCTGATAATGTTACAATGTAAACAACTAATCCATGTTTTGACTGGAGGAGAGCTGGTAAAGTGGCTAATGGACAACTAACGAAGGTTCTGTTCAGTTACATTGTGATGCATTCAGGCTCTGTTCAGTGAAAATGAGTATTGCGCAACGGTAAAATATAACGTTCACATGTAATCTCGTAAAATGTAGTGTTATTGAGACACTTGTGAGAAGCAGTTGTTTGAAGGAGATGTTTTCACATCAACATAAATAGATATTTGAGATGAACTATGAGCTGTTAACACTAGCTCTAAGCCAGGGGTGTCAAACTCAAATACACAGTGGACCGAAATTAAAAAATTGCTACAAGTCAAGGGCCAGATGGGTTCAACGTTTATTAAAAACTTATTGAAAGAACCTTAGTGCACATATTGAACCTGGAACTAACAAGGCCTATAGAGTATTGCCTATAAAACAACATTAATTATGAAATGAATGAAATATAAATAAATAAATAAAAGTAATAAAATCAGTTTCATTAATTGCTTATGACTCTATCTGCAGTTTTTCCAGAGTAATTTCAAGTGAAAACATTTTCTACAGGCAAACAGCCAAAAATAATTTACTTCAAAGAAGAATCAAATGTCCTGTAGTAGCAAGAGAAAAAAAATGCAAAAATGAAACTGCATTAAAAACTGAAAATGCGTCAAAGCACCGTTTGCTGCTCTGTGATGCTCACTGGTCTGAGCCAGACACTTGGTGTCTCATCTTGGATACAAGTTCATCAATGTCTGGGGTCAGGCTCTGAGCTGAGGAAATCCTCAGGATTGAGTGAAGGTGCTCATCAGTAAGACGAGTCCTGTGTGAAGTTTTGTTTATCTTCATCAAAGAGAACAGTTGTTCACACAAGTATGTGCTGCCAAACAGAGAGCGTTTGAGCAGCCTGGGAGCGCAGCTGGGGCATTGTGTCGGGGATGAAACGTGGAAACTGCAGCGCCCACAGACTCATATTTTGCCTTCAGTGTGTCATTAGATTGGAGCTCAATCAGCTCCATTTGGAGGTTTGATGGTGCGTTTTCCACGTCAGCTGCAAATGGATTACTGAGCAGTTCAAACCTGCTTTTTTGGGCTTCAAAATCGGCAAATCGCCGTGTGAAGTCAGCACCAAGTATGCCGAGTTTTTCAGCAAACTGTGTAGTTGGGAAGGCAGCGACCTGCTCTTTCATTGTTTGGCAGTGCGAAAAATGGCTCAAGTTTTCCTGCAGCATCTGCGTCTTCCACAGGCGCAGCTTGGTTTTAAAAGCCCTCACTGTAGCGTACATGTCAGTGATGACACGGCCCCGCCCCTGAAGCTGCAGGTTGAGCGCATTCAGGTGGCTCGTGATGTCACACAGAAACGCCACTTCACACAGAAACATTTTATTTCGGAGCTCTGTTGTGCCTTTCCCTTTGCTTTCCATGAACTCACAGATCTCCTCACGCAACTGAAAAAAAAATGCCTCCCACCTGTCTTGAAAACTCCTGTTTTCAAATTCCACCTTTCGTTTAGCCATTTTTTGGGGCGAGGGATAGTTGAAAGTTGACACAAGTGGTATGTAATACAGACTGTGAGGCGCGCGATCGCGGGCGCGCGATTGACGTGCCGACACACGGGCAGTGCATTGTGGGATTTGTAGTATTATGGTGGTGCGTGCGATATACCGGCGGGCCAAAGATAATTCATTCACGGGCCGGATGTGGCCCGCGGGCCTTGAGTTTGACACATGTGCTCTAAGCAGATTATAATACATCGTTAAAACTACTAATGACATGATTCATTTAATCAATGAAAATACAATCTTTTATTTCCTTATCATTTGAATTGTGTGCATTTATGGAAATACACTTTAAATGACTAACAGAGTAAAGGTATAACATTTAGAATTTTTGATGGTTTACAGATTTCGGAGTGGTTGAAATGATTTTTGTTACGGTGAAAAAATAGTCTGGATCCTTGTAGACCAGCTGCTATGATCAAACAACAAAGAGATCTGTATCTGACAATATGGATCATCTATGATCTGCAATTAGTATCAGAGGCAAAAGCAAACGTGATCAGGGATCAGTTATATTTGCTCCATTTCTTTCTTTTGTGCTGATCCGATTTCTTTTTTTTTTTTTATAAGATCCGTGACTCTGATATGATACGATCCGAACTGTGAGTTTTATGATCTGTTGCACCACAACCAAAAATCTTGCTGTTCCTATTGTTGTGTTGCAGTGCATCATGTCCAGTGCTGGTCCAGCATCACAGAAACCAGCCAAGCGCCAAAACACACGGCCCTATGGTTCTATCTCCAAAGGCCTCAAAGAAATTCACATCGATGAACATGTCAAGATAGCGATAAACCTCGCTCTGGAGAGGTTTCACTACAGTGATGAAAAAGGTATCGACTGCTTTTATATCAGAAAATAAAAGCGCCGCACTTCTGTGTGGTCAACCTATGTAAACATTAATTATTGTGAAATCACATGACAGAGGTTCGCCACTGTCATGCTCACTACTCGTCCCAGTGTGAGCACGAAGGTACGATGGTTGAGTCTTGTGAAGTGTATTAATATTTACCCTTTCCTTTCCTTGACTGGGCAGAGATGGAATTTCCCTCCTGCTTCTCCAGTACTGAGAGGGCTTTAGTTCATCGAATGGCACAGTCCCTGGGTTACATTTCTAAGAGCAAAGGGTAAGTATCCGAGTACATGAGTCATTTACAAAGGTACATACACTCTCATAAATGGCTAGAGCAGGGGTCACCAACCTTTTTGAAACGGAGAGCTACTTCAAGGGTACTGAGTAGTACGAAGGGCTACTTGTTTGATACAAACTTCCTGAATAACAAAGTTGCACAGATCACCTTTTAATAATAATAATATATGTGAAGAGACTGTCTGATCACATGTCAATGTTAATTATTCCTCACAATAACTATTAACAATATTTTGTTCAAAATCACACCTGTTATATTTTTGTACAACTTATCACTTCTAACATTTTTTAGGAAATCATTAACTGTCATATCTTCAAATCATGTCTCGTTTGTACTAACCACTACCTTTGTAACATTTTTGAACAAATCATGAACTCTGTCCCATGTTTATACAAATTCAGTTATGTAAGATTGATATTGGCGTGATATCCGGCCAATCCAAAGACGAGGATTGTAACCAGTTAAATGTAGTTATACAATGGTGACTGGGTCCGCCCACTTAGTGTCAAAAAGAAAATCTACTCGCAAGCGAGCAGGTGAAAGTTTTTCGAGCAGAAGAGCAGTGATCATACACAAACACACACACACACACGGATGTTATTTGCGCTCTTGGATTTTAACAGTGATTTGCCTTCATACTAGTGCTATTTTTAGAACATGCCTTGCGGGCGACTCACGTGGTCCCTGGGGGCGACCAGTGTTGGCTACCTCTGGGCTAGACGTTCTTTTACAATAAAGCTGGATTTGTAGTTTTGTGTAGGGGGATAGTGTGTAGCTGTGGAGCCTAAGCACATAACTGCTGTAGGCTACGCTGTAGCTGACGTGGACCTGCTCAAAAGTGGGATTGCAGTCGGGCTACGGTGGCTACAGAAGCCTCCGTTTTTTTAACAGTTTAATCATCACAGTGTGTAATTAAGTTTTACTGCTGCTGTTCCTTTTCAAGTAACAAGTCCCTGAATATCAATGCAGAGTGTCAGTGAACAGATATAAAGCAGTGTGTTCACGTGAACGGAGCATGTTAGAAGCATTTAACGGTGAAAGTCATGGCGAGCGGAGGAGCGTCAGAAGCTCCCAGCGTCATTTAAGTAGCAAGTTTGGGAGCATTTTGTCTTCCCTGTAACTTATAATGGTGGTGGACAAAACAGTTACGGTATGTAGGCGTTGTTTTAAGAGAAAGACACACGACAACGGCAATGCAGTTTGAAGCGCTACCACCCCAGTCGGGTGGACCTCCAGGGTAACGGAGAGCTACGTGATTGTGACCGCTCACTTCATCACGGCGGAGTGGGAGATTCATAGTCCTGTAGACACGCCCCCTCTGGGAGAGTCACACAGACAGGTGCAGTAAGACACGACCCCTCTAGGAGAGTCACACAGACACACACCTGGTGCAGGTGCTGACAAAAGCAGCAGAGTGGAAGCTAGACAGGCCCAATAGTAATATCCCAGTCACCACAGAAAGGTCTACCCTCTCCCCAGACAATGGAGATATTCCAAGTTGTAGACCATTTCACAGTAATGTTAAACATTATTGCAGTGTATTTGAATGACATAACCTGACAGGAAGTAAACATAGACCCAAGTTGTTGCCGAGCAGTTCAGTTCAGTTGAAACAGTGTAAGCTAGCGCCGGTCTCCTCTGCTTTCTTTCTTTTTTGATGCTGTAGACACTGGCTGTTTTTTTTCTTTCAATATTGATCAAAGGACGAGGGCATCAACATACCTCATGTTGCACTTAAACGTAACAGAATTGAGTATTCTTTGTTTTATTTGTATTTAGTTATTTATTTCATTTTGTTTCACATTGGACATGTTAAATATTTTAGTTTGTATGTAAGACTATAGCCTTTAGTTATTTGCTTTAAGTGTTCTTGAAGTTCTTTAATTAATAAATAGAAAGCAAAGTTATATTTGTCTCCTCCCCTTTTCTTTGCTGATCTGAAAAATGATCCGAACCGTGAGGTTTGTGATCCGTTGCACCCCTATATTTTACCAGTAGATATTAGTAAATACTACTGGGACCACGACAGAAAATTTGATTTCCAGAGATTCACATTTTTAATAGAATACTCTTGATGTGTGAACTTATAAAATACGTTGCATGTAAAAAGCGTTTGTTTGAGCCAGTTGAAGGTATGGTACACATGCGCTTGTGTGCACATGATCAATGTGGTACCACCAGGAAAAACCCTTTATTATGGAAGTTGAAGAAAGACTAATCTTCTCCTTTAAGTAAAGCACATCTAACAAAGCAGTCACCAGTCTGCAAACCTTCTACTCACCACAACCACCACTCTCTATCACAGTGAAGAAAGGAAAGAAAAGGCAACAGTGACTGTTAAAGAACGTGTTGGTGGTCGGGTATTGATTTATTTTCAATTCATCCTAGACTGTCTTTGAAACGATGATATACTCTGGATGTGGCCACACCCCTGGTAGAATGACATCACAGGGGGCAGATTCACCTGCTACTTCATAAGCCTGTATGATTGTCTCAACCACCCAGTGGGAGAGCCTCAGTTTAGACAGTGCACATCCCCTGTCCCCTCCATGGCAGACAGAAAACTGCTCTAAGCACCTAATGCTCTGCGTTGCCCCAACATACAAGTGCAACGCCTGAACTGGACACAACCAATTGGCCCTTTCCTCCATCTCAGATCTAAATGGGGGAGAATGGTATGCCTCCAGCCCTATAGCCTGATTAACATGGCTGGGGGACACGACCTTTGTTAGGAAGGAAATATTTGGCCACAATGTCGTCCCAGAATTTTACGCATTCCACCACCTTCCGCCTTTGCACAAAGGACTAATATATAGAGCGTGGAGTTCACTCACATGCTTGGCTGTCTTAACTGCCAGAAGAAAAGCCGACTTCATTGACATATTCCTCATAGTCACCTCTGCCATAGGCTCAAAGGGTGACCTGCTCACGGCGTGCAATATGAGTTGCAGGGCCCATTCAACAGCCCGTTTTACCTTAGAGGGGGCCTAGCCTCCTGGCACTAGGCAGAAAATGTGTCTCCAAGTGATGACCTTCATTCAATTTGGCCATTGTTTACAGATTTGGCAACCACATGAACCTTTAAAGTTGAAGCTGCTTGACCAGCTCCTAAAAGATGATGCAGGTACCTCAGTATGTCCTGCAAAGGGCATGAGACAGGATTTGACCCCCTGTCTCGGCACCATGAAGAAAATGCCGTCCAAACACTTTCTATGCACCACTCTTGTGGAAGAAGCCCTTTCACTCTGCAAGGTCTCACAAATTGATGGCTCAAAGTCAGCCAGGAGTGACTGCTCCTCCTCAATGGCTATACCCAGAGTTGAAGGAGGCCCGGAGACGGATACCAAAACTTCCCATCTAGCTGGGACAGAAGGTCCATCCATATTGGAAGCCAATCCTAAGGATCCCAATACAACAAGCTGAGTGTGGAGAACCTTATCCTCGATGGCCACTTGGGGACCACTAGAAGGACCATGTGACGCAACAAGCTCACTCTGTGAAGCGTGATTGATATCAGTGAGATTGACCATAATGCATTAAGAAGACCACTTGACCAGGCGTTGGCAAGAGCATCCCAAGTGGGGCACTGGTCTCCGCCAAGAAAAATCACAATGAGTCGTGCACCCTGAGCCGAATAGCTCCACCTGGGCCTTCTCAAATCACAAAACAACTGCTCCACCTGAGAGTGCAACCTCCATTCCCCAGGCTGCAGCCTTCAGCATTAGAGGCAATCTGCCTGAGAGGTGTAACGCCCTAGGGGAGGCCAATTGGGGATGAGCCCATTTCCACTGCCTCTGAGCTTCCTTTAGGAACTGCAGTGACCTGGGCCCTCCTTGTTAGTTGATTGGTCCATTCGAATGAGCACATGCTTGTTTTTGAGAAAGGGCAAGAAGTGCTTCAGAGCCAAGTAGACAGTCAAGAGTGACTTTGTTTACTGCCACTGGCAGTCAGGAGGGGATGAAACAGAACCCTGTTTGTTAGCTGTCTGATAATCAGAGAAACATGCTGTTCATTTTTGAAGAGGATAGCTGTGTCTTTAAGAGAGGTGGGTCAACTTTGAGAGCTCCTGTCTCCAGAACGGTTGGTCATTCTCATTAATCAAATAATGTTCTACACTCTCTCAAAAAGGTTGACATATAGAAAAACACCTGCTCAGATGGAAAGGGGTGAGGTCAGAGAGTGATTTCTGACAGAATACCCTCACTCTGAGATTTTTGGAACAGTTACAGCAACAGTTTTTGTCGCTTGAATCAGTTTTAACAAGTATGTTAATGGGAGAAATTTATTTCCCTCCCTCTCAGGAAAGAACCAAATCGCTTCCTCACCATCAGGAAGAGGAACGGTTCAGACAAACCCCGGCCTACTGTGCCCCTCACAGTCTCCCACAATTCCTTATATTTCATCCGCAGCCTACTTCAGAGGTTTCCTATCAGCAATAAGGAACACATAGACATGCAGCCCAACAACAAAAGTGGCATGTCTGTTGCTGCAGAACCTGGTGAGTGTCAGTGTCTGGCTAAACTATGACTCTGCAGTGAGTTACAATGATGCAGTTACAGCTAACATCCATTCCATGAAAAAAAAAAGATGGCATAACCTACTTCCACTGGGGTGCTGTCTATACTGCCCACCTATTGTAGTCTTACTGGGATATCCTCTGGGATGCATGAGGGAAACCTTAAAAGATGTACAACGTCACCCAACTACAGTTGGAACAAAGTCAGCACAAAGTGTTGCATTTCAAGATGGAAAAATCACCTCAATGTCAAGTCAACAGATGTGTTGTATAGGGTTGTGCAACATTCTTCAGTTCTTCCCTTAGATGGCAGTTGTGAGAGGAACAGGGCTAGCTGGGGCTTAAACAACGGTATACCCATGGTGCCTCGGAGAAGGAGTCCATCAGAACTGGACAGTTTTCGAAGCTCCCTGCCTGTCCATGAACGCCAGGAAGAGATCATCCAGCTCATCAGAGAAAACAGGGTTGTGTTGGTGGTTGGAGAGACTGGCTCTGGAAAAACTACACAGGTGGGTCTGCCACAACACTTTGGTCCCGACTGAAGCATCTCCACTACAAAGCACATTGAGATGGAATTTTGTACAAATATTCATGGATCCCAGAGGATAAACCCTTGTCTTTTTGGTTGTCCTCTGACTCTTCAACTAGTGCCAAAACTAACATTATTCCAATCAGCCTCAGATGTTCAGTGCTAATTAGCACATTTGAACATGTTAACACTCTTAGTCTTGTTTCTGCCTGTTTTACATATGTGTTGTTTTTTGTCATTATTGTCCTTACTAGAATGTTAAAAGATACAGACAGGAAACTATGAGAGAATTTGGAACTGTCTCACTGATTTTTCTTTTGAAATATTGTGACACTAAAACAGGGGGTAAATCTACTGATATTGGATAACTATTGCATAGTATGTATGGTTTGAGCCTGAGGTAACCCTGTGTCACCGTGCATTGTCCAGATCCCACAGTTCATGCTGGATGAGTGCAGCAGGAATGGAGATCCCTGCAGGATCTTCTGCACTCAGCCCAGACGCCTGGCTGCCATCGCTGTGGCTGAGAGAGTGGCAGCGGAGAGAGGAGAGAGTGTGGGCCAGACTGTCGGTTATCACATCAGACTACAGAGGAGGTACATTAGATCAGAGCCTTTTATCTTAACGCTTCATGTGTTCATCATTTACACCTACAGTAGAACAACTAGTTAAATTCAAGGCCGAAGCTACAGAGCTCTTTCCAAAGGTCTTTAAACAAGTGTACAGTACAAAACCATTTAGGGAGAAAGCACACAAATCATGTTTTTTACACACAGACAGACAGACAGACAGACAGACAGACCAATGTGGACACACTGAATTTAAGCTACTGAATCTTTATGTATGGTTGGGAAAGTGAAAGTATTTTGATTAAATAGAATTTCAGAAATGTATGATTTGTTCAATCGAAGTTGAAATTGCATGTAAACTTTAACTTATTTCCCTGCTTTGTGCACTTTTAAATTAAACTTTCCATCAGTTGTATTCTTAACAGATGTACAATTGATATACTGTCTGCAGTGGGTGAGCAAGTTATGTTGTAAAAGATGCTGCATTCATTTCTTTTAATACATCCATGTGAAATGTAGTAGATTAAATCTGTTCACTCTGTGTGTTTGCTTTCCAACCATTACAACAGTTTAAACATACATCTGAATTTTGAAAAATTGGATGCATTTGAAGCACAGCAGTTCCACTCTTTTTTATATTTATTGTCAGATACTCGGATCCTCCTCAAAACTCTGCTTGCACAAATACAGTCACATTATCAGATGTTCAGGATTTCTGTTGTTTAAAAAAACTTTGTAAATCTGAAAGTTATTGTTAAATATTGTTACAAATAGTAATTTCCTATACTGTACAACTCATGTATTATACTTTATTTAGTTTGAGCTGCATACACATAACCCATACAATGTGGTTCAAATACACAGTTCTATTTCATCATTACTGACTGCCAGAGGCAGTGCTTAACACTGGATATCTTCCGTCACATGCAGGTCGAGTCTTTATATCAACAAAGTCACTCGTGACCTCGGATGACCCCAGCCATTCCTGAGATCAGTCCTTTTTCATCTTCCCGCTTACGCAGGCTAACTATCATTGTAGCATTAGCTTAAGCTAAATTTGTCTATGATTAAAGATTTCTGGAGCTTGTCGCTTGTAGCCTTGTGACCACCGGTCGGAGTTGCAGATCTCTCACCATCCAAAGGCTGCGACAAGTTGTCCCTCTTAAGAGGGAACGGTGTGTTTCGCTGTTCGGACCGGTGGATGCTCCTATCTTCAATCTTAATTTGGTAAATGGTAAATGGACTGTACTTGTACAGCACTTTTCTAGTCTTCCCACCACTCAAAACGCTTTAACATTACATATCGTCATTCACCCATTCACACCCATTCATACACTGATGACAGGGGCTACCATGCAAGGTGCCACCTGCCCATCAGGACTATCTGACGTTCATACAACATTCACACACCGTAGGCACAGCTACAGGAGCAATTTGGGTTTAAGTGGGGGTTAAGTGTCTTGCCCAAGGACATATCGACATGGACTAGCGGAGCAGGGGATTGAACCGCCGATCCTGTGATTGAAGGACGACCCTGCTCTACCACTGAGCCACAGTCGCCCCGTGAACATCGATCAGTGACATCGATTAACATTGTTTCTATAACATCAGACAATAAAAACTGTTTGTTCGTTTTCCACAGTTGGCAGAGCTAATTGAGTGGCGTGCTAACGCCAGCGTGTCCGCTCGGTGTTGGCTAGATTGACAATGTACCGTGTCAGTGAGAGAGTGTTCCCGCTCCCCTCTCACTAGGTCGATATTGAGATTGTGTACATTGACTTTTGTAACATTAATGCTTTCAAAGTTAGCAGAGTTCTCTCGCTCAGGCTAACTTGGGGGCGCCCTAATTCTGACAGCTACCGTACTAGGGAAGAGTGTCCTCACTCCCCTCATTATACAAACTGTTTTCTGACCTGTTTCCACAGTAGCAGAGTGCTCTCGCTCAGGCTAACTGGTGGGACACCAATATTTACAGCGACTGTCCTAGTGAAGAGTGTCCTTGCTCATTGACCCTCCACCCTAGTGCATTATCTCAGTGGCAGCGTTAGCCAATCTCTTTACTGAGTACAGTGAAGAGTGGCCCTCCCATGCCTCTGGACCTGGCTCCCGTTCCTCAGCCCTTAAGTTCTTCGGATGGGGGAGTCGAAAGCTCAATGGGGTCGGTTATTCGCATGGCACTGGCACACCTGCAGTTCGATATATGTGCCTTCTTCAGGTGCGTTCCTGTCAGCTTTTCTGTTTCTCCCTCCGAAGAAAATCGGAGGGAATTTCATACATGCTAGAGAAACACCAAGGCTCTCTCCCATCTTACATCAGATGGCCGAACCCTGGCGGCCATGCAGGATGCGGCAAAATTTGGCTTTGTCCGCATGCCGGCTATTGAGCCGACTATTTCTTCCCTCATAGACTCTGAGGCCCGATGCCATGTGCTCTCGACCCCAATGTTGGGTCACAGATGATCTGCTTTCCAAGACTTATGACACAGCAGCGTGCATTGGCCGTATAGGCAACTCCCTCTCTCAACTCATACTTGCCCTCTCGGCTTCTCTGCAGCAGGCTGCTTTCGACTCTTCCTCCACCAGCCTCAATGATGATTCACTGCAGGCGTTTACGCTCATGTCGAGGGAACTTGGACATCTGTTGTCCAGCCTGGTTCAGACTCACCGCCAGGGACATGCCGGCACCCCGCAGGCCCACGTCGGCCCCCCCAAGGCCACTCCCCAGCTCATCCCAGTAGCTGCCATTGGTCTCAGCGACCCGCTACCAACGTCACCCACCCTGCATGCCCCCCAGGCAACCTCCGAACTTGGGAACTAACAGTTGCCCCCCCCCCCAAAGCCTTCAGAGGCAGGGGGGCCAGGAACTGATGTCTCCAGGCCGGTTGTCAGTTATTTCTCCCAGCAGCATATCAGCTACTGGGCAGCTCATGCTTCAGACCCCTCGGTGGTTTCCACCCTAACCCAGGGTTACAAGCTTCAATTCAGACACTGACCCCCAGCCTTCAGCCGGGTCAAAATGACCATCACTGATCCGGCAAAAGCCCTAGCTGTGAGCCAGGAGTTAGCTGCGCTCCTGGCCAAGGGTGCAATCAAGATTGTGGACCCTCTGTCACAGCCCAGGGGGTTCTACTCAATCTAATTTCTCGTAAAAAAGAGAGGGGACGGACCACTCCTGGATCTGATGGGGACTCAACAGGTTCCTGAAGGTCTTGCCATTCCACATGTTGAGAACAGCAGACATTCTTCATTTCGCCTTTCAAGGCCGTCGCTTTCAGTTCAGGGTGCTTCCATTCGGACTCTCCCTGAGAGTGTTCACAAGGTGCGTTTCTGCTGCCCTTTCCCCCCTGCAATCACACCTGCATGTACCTTGGCCGATTAGTGCGCCACTTTCGAGGCCTATTGGACAAATTGACACCTGCCTCAGCTGTCGTTCCCTTTGGCTTGCTGTCACTGCGCCCCCTGCAGAGATGGCTGAACAACCTTTGCTTGGACGCCAAGTGGCACAGGACATTAGAGGTATCAAAGCAGTGCCTTCTCGCTTTATCCTCCATGAAGGAGGAGAAAATCTGTCAAAGGGTGTTCCTATGGGCTCTATTCCATTCTGCCGGGAGTTTGTCCCAACAGATGCCTGCCTCTCAGGGTGGGGCAGAACAGCAATGCTCGGGGGCAGTGGTCTGCTCAGGTCCGCATGGAGCATGTCAATGAAGGTGGGAGGAGGGAGTTGTCAGTTTAGACCGGTCTGGGACGGATTTACAGGTCAGGTTATGCTTGTGTGACAGAGATAGTTGTGTCCAGAAGGACAAAGCACAGCTTGAGAGAGAAGTTCACACTAAAAGTGTAGTCATATGTGATTAAAGCCGTGAGGAACATTAACGTAATAGATAAAAAGCCATTACTTAGATAGATGAAGCCAGCAATGCTACGCATTTCCAGAGGTGGGTAGTAATGAGATACATTTACTCTGTTACATGTACTTGAGTAACTCTTTGGAGTAACTTGTAGTTGACGGAGTAGTTTTAATGCAACATACTTTTTACTCTCACTTGAGTAGATTTTTAGTGAAAATGAATTGCTTTTACTCCGTTATATTTGGATACATTCGTCATGCTACTTTTATGTATTTATTAATTTATGCATGTATGATCTGTTTAGAGGCAGGTAGTCCGCTCATGACCCTCTGTTCATAACAGCATGACTGAAGCTACAGCAGAAGAAGAGGAAAGTGATACGGCTGGTGTTTTACACGCATTTTTAGATCCTTGGGAGCCTAATGTTAAGAGCGCTAGCAGCAGCTTATATTTACAGATGAGTTAACAGTGTTGCAGTTGTGAATGCTGGTCTGAAGTCAGTACATCAGAGGACCGTGCTGACACTGAGCTGACAGGGAGCAGTCAGTGTATATTATGCTTCAGAACTACTACTCTACTCTACTGCTGCTTCCTGTCCTGATTTATTCAATTCATTAAGCCTGAATGAGTCATCTGACATGAGACATTTTCAGAAAGACAAGAGATAGATKTTTAACTCTAATCTTATTGACTTCGTGTGATTGGAGAGACCTGGATGTGATCTGTGTCTGTCTGTGATGGGAACTGTGACTTTGGACATCTATACTGAACAAAGTTTAAGGACACTGTAACATGTAACACTCTTTATATTTACTTTTCAAGGTCTATTATGCACACGATTTGCTGATTGTTTTGCCAAATAGTAATATAATATCAGAGATAACAATCAAAGAATGTAATAAAAAGAAATGTGCTGGAGTTTTTTGTTTTTATTTTTGTCTTAGTAAGTAATGTTTTACTGTTAGTAGTACTAGTTTTTGCATAGTAACAGTATGTTTATTTAGAGTACAGTCTTTGCCTGAAAACTAATTTTGTGAAAAGGGTTCTTCTCAGGTGACACTAAGTCCTCTATTTAACTTTCCTGTCTAACGTTTGCGAGCCTGTGTAACACTTAATAATGTTTAAAATGTGAATGACTCAAGTAACTGTTGACTTTGAAACCTCAGGGTCTCGCCTAAGACGCTGCTGACCTTTTGCACCAGTGGAGTGCTCCTCAGAACATTGATGGCTGGAGATGCCAGCCTGACAACTGTCACACATGTCATTGTGGTGAGCATCAAGACTAGAAATAAACAGGACATACAGTCTCAGAAAATCATTTTACTCTGTTATCCTGCATGTATTAGAAGCTGGGATTGTTCTTTGGAGAAACAGCATTTTCATTGGGTGTTAAGTTTCTCTTTAAAGGTGTTTCAGCTCCCAGTTTGACTTTTGTTTGAACATGTTGAAGTGACTTGCTGTGTTTTAACAGGATGAGGTGCATGAGCGTGATGGTCTGACTGACTTCCTGCTCACCAAGATGCGGGATGTGCTTCAGAAGATTCCCACTCTGAAACTGATCCTGTCCAGTGCAGCTCTGGATATAGACCTGTTTCTTCAGTACTTTGGCTCCTGCCCTGTTATCCACCGTATGTCCTGCTAACTCACTAAATGAATGCTCATACCAGCTATTACTTATTATTATACATTTCAAAACATGTTTAAATGTAACACGGCATCCTATTGGATGATCCCATCATAGGTAATCAAGTCATAATATGTATCACGTTTGTCACATGTGTATACTTCACATATTACGGCAGGAAGACCTTCTTTCAGTGGATGAAAACTATTTGCAGTCAATAGTGTTCCTGTAGTTTTTGACCATGTTTGATTAATGTAACATCTAAAAAATTGAAGTTCAGAACTGACATTTTTATCAAAATTAAGAGTTGGTCTCAAGCCTCTCAAAAAGATTTTTATTTTTTCCAAATTCAACTGAATACAAGAAAAATATCATCAATGTATTGACTTCAGGGGTGATGTTAGATATACAATCAATTTCAAAAGGGATTCATCAAAACAAAAGTAATTCTTGGTTCATATCATTCGACAGATAATATCGCAAAGTATTAAAACTATCCTTGTGGAATATTGTTGTATAATGAATTAACATCTATGGATCTCTGGTTACAAGTGATGGATGGATGGATGGATGGATGGATGGATGGTTGGAAGTGTAGTTGGATGGAAAACCCCCAAATGTCGCCCGCAGACACATCCTGCCGATCCTCTGATTGAACTGCTCTACCAATAAGCCACAGTTGCCCTACAGTACTCTGTCTGTTCATAACAAATATTTCTGGTGTATTGAAAACCTGTGGACCTGCAGGCAAAAAAGGCGAAATATTTTTAAGTAGCATAGCATTTCTTATTTTTCATTCAAATGGCCAGAGAACATGTATAGTAAGACTCGTGCAAACCAATGCCATTTCTGGCTAGCCTAACTGAATGACCAGGAGTGAAAACAGCAAAAATGGTCTAGGGTTCAAACCTTTATTTACTTCAATGTACACAGGTAAATAAAGGGACAGCGCTATCCAGAAATTGCAAATATCACATGCACCACCTTTACAATGAAGTAGCACTAATGGATTAATAAATACTGCAGCAAGTGTTACAGTCAGAACATGTTTCATTCAAGAAACGGTTCATTCTAATACAAAGATGGGTTACTATTGTTAACTGAAGTAATGCAAATGCAGTGTAATCTGGTAGGAGTGTTATCTGTGTATTTCTGATACTTGGTGTTAATTATCAATAAATTAAGAGTTCTGTTTTATGTTTAGTCATAGGAAGACAGTTCGAAGTGAAGGAATTCTTTCTGGAAGACATTTTGAAGCTGACAGGCTTTAACAATAAGGACATGAAGAAATACAAAGAAGAGACACAGAGAAGTATGACGCTTTTTATTAATTAGTCCACAGAATCAGACTGAATATATAAAATGCATTATAGCCTTCCATCTGGCTTTGTCTTAATCTCCTCTGTGTATCATATGCCCTGGTTCTCAGAGGAGAAGAAGCAGAAGTGTTTGACGGAGTGGTGTAAGGCAGTGGAGGAGGAGAAACAGAGGACCCCTGTGTCTGCCCTGGGCTTCCTCCAGGATAGCAGCTCCCTGGACAGAGGGGACAGCACCTTCAACAAGCTGGTAAACCAACACAATCCCATACACACCACTCTCTATGCACTGCTTCAGTGGGACAGATCAAGTCCAGTGTTCCAGTGTTCCGCAACTCATCTCGTTATCAATGTAGGTACAAGAAAACAATGTAAGTGCCATACTCACTAAATGTGGGGCCTCTGCTATCTGATGTAGCAGCACTACTCGTTTTCCCTGAAGCTAAGTTTACTATTATATTTCAGAAAAATGTAATAATTTCACGAGTGGAGCCTGCACGACAGTGCAGGGCTCTAGCTTAACTTTTCTTTTTTAACACTGTCCCAAACCATCCTGAATACAATTTAAACAAAACTAGGGTTGGTTATGTTGAAACCAGCAACAGTACAATCGATTAAAATTGATGATCTGATTATCATTATTATGATTAAAGGATTATCTTATCTGATCCAACTGAAAGACTCAACTCATTGTTGCCAACTCTTTTCCAATTAAAGTAGCTAGCAGCACTAGATCCAAATAATAATAATAATAATAATAATAATACATCAATTTTCTATAGTGCTTTTCAAAATATAGTGCCTTTACAAGGCAGAGACAAACAGAACAAACAAAAAAAATAAAAATAACTGGAGAAGCTGTGCGGAATGGGTCATGTAGTGGAGGGTAGGGTGCAGGGGTTAGCAGGTGGAGGCGAGTTTGAAGAGGTGGGTTTTGAGGGCTTGTTTGAATGATGATAGGGAGGGAGCCTCACGGATGTGGATGGGGAGGGTGTTCCAGAGGGGAGGTGCAGCAGCTGAGAAGGCCCTGTCACCCGAGGTCCGGCGCTTGGTCCTGATGGTCTTCAGAGTGTTTGCACCGGCGGACCTGAGGCAACGAACCTAGAAAGTGTCAATACTGACAGCCTAGACAGGTAGGTAGACGGTAGTGGTGTAACTGACCACTGTCGATCTGTGATCCGTACAGATCCCCCTCACGGTTCAGCACACATTAGAACTGTGGATTAACTACACCAGGGGTCACTAATAGGCGGACCGCGGTCCGGATCCGGACCCAAGACCTAAAACCAATAGATAATTGAGAATTATTGAATTTTGACGGAGCGCTTCTATTTTAACCGGCGCATTTTTTCCAGCATTTACGGCACTTGTTCAGCGGTGCAGGAAACACACCAACCAATGCGTTATAAATCACATCACATGATGCAGCTCAGCCAATCAAATATGGGTATTCTGACAAGTTTCCGGACTCGAGTGAGATTTACACACACCTTGACACACGGGGCTGAGACGAGGAAAGACAAGGAAGAGCAGGGGAATAGTAACGTGTGTCGGGGAAGTCATTTCACAAGACGGTCACCTAAAAGTGAAGAGACCAGAGTGACCAGTGTCTTTAACCAAGAATGGACAGACTCGTTTCGGTGAATTCTTCTCACAGGCAGGTTAAAAACAGTGTCTCATTTTGAGCAAACGTACCCACTCACATCTGAAATGAAGACACAGATAATAAACCTAAGAGCCCAATATGATCAGAATCCTGATGCATGAATTCACTGTCCAATGATGTTACCAGAGAGAATAGAGCTGAATAGAGCTGTCCTATATACAGGGATGGGTTAAATGCAGAGACAAATTTCCCCTTCCGGGATGAATATAGTACAACAATAATAATAATAAATCGCCACCTTATCGTGGTGAAGGAGTTTGAGTGGCTCAGTGATCCTGGGAGCTATGCTGTCTAGGGCATTAGCCCCTGGTAGGGTCTCCCAAGGCAAACAGGTTTCAGGGGATAGCCCAGACTAAGAGCGGTTCAAAACGACCCCTATGATAGTTAGCCCACGGACTTTAGCCACCTCGCCCGGACCAGTGAAACCGGGGCACCCTCCCGGAGCCAGACCCAGGAGGGGAGCTCGTAGGCGAGCGTCTGGTGGCCGGGCCTTTGCCCATGGGGCCCGGTCGGGCTCAGCCCGAATAAACACCATGGAGCAGCCACCCTGTGGACCCACCACCCGCAGGGACAAGCATCGGGGTCGGATGCTATGCAGACCGGGCGGCGGGTCGGGCGGGAGGCCCGGGCATGCCGATCGCTGGCAGCATAGACTAGCTCTAGGGACGTGGAACGTCACCTCGCTAGAGGGGAAAGAGCCGGAGCTGGTGCAGGAGGTGGAGCAATACCAGCTAGAAATAGTTGGACTCACCTCCACACACAGCGTTGGCTCTGGAACCAACGGAGTTTCCGGAGTTGCACAGGGTGAGAGGCGCCGGGCGGGAGTGGGGATACTCACGAGCCCCCGGCTGAGCGCCGCTGTATTGGAGTTCTCCCCGGAGAACAAGAGGGTCGCCTCCATGCGCCTACGGGTTGCGGGGAGCAAGGCTCTGACTGTGGTTTGTGCTTAAGACCCGGCAAACCCAAACGTGTAGTGAGAGTAAACTGGGAAGTCTGGCAGAGGACTCTGTCCGGGAGGTCTTTAACTCCCACCTCCGGAAGAACTTCTCCCGAGGGAGGTTGGGGACACGGAATCCGAGTGGACCATGTTCAAAGCCTCTATTGTGGACGCGGCCGCTAGGAGCTGTGGCCGGAAGGTCATCAGTGCCTGTTGTGGCGGCAACCCGAGAACCCGGTGGTGGACACCGGAGGTGAGGGAAGCCGTCAAGCTGAAGAAGGAGACCTTCAAGGCCTGGTTTGCCCAGGGGTCTCCTGAAGCAGCTGACAGGTACCGGCAGGCCAGAAGGGCTGCAGCTGCGGTGGTCGCAAATGCTAAAACTCGGGCATGGGAGGAGTTCGGGGAGGCCATGGAGAAGGACTTTTGGTTGGCCTCAAGGAGGTTCTGGCAAACCATCCGACGGCTCAGGAAGGGAAAGCAGGGCTTACCCCAGGCTGTTCTCAGCAGGGGGGGGGGGGACTGCTAACCCGGACGGAGGACATCGTTAGGCGGTGGAAAGAGCACTTTGAGGAACTCCTAAACCCGACCAATATGTCCTCTGCAGAGGAGGCAGCGCCTGAGGACCTAAGGGGAGGCTCACCCATATCCCTGGCAGAGGTCGCTGAGGTAGTTAAAAAGCTCCTTGGTGGCAAGGCGCCGGGGGTGGATGAGATCCGCCCTGAGATGCTGAAGGCGCTGGACATAGTTGGGCTGTCCTGGCTGACACGCCTCTTCAATGTCGCATGGGGGTCGGGATCAGTGCCCATGGAATGGCAGACCGGGGTCGTGGTTCCCATCTTCAAAAAGGGGGACCGGAGAGTGTGCTCGAATTACCGGGGTATCACACTACTCAGCCTCCCGGGGAAGGCTTATGCCAGGGTGCTGGAAAGGAGGCTCCGACCGCTTGTCGAACCTCAGATTCAAGAGGAGCAGTGCGGATTCCGTCCCGGCCGTGGAACAGTGGACCAGCTCTTTACCCCGCAAGACTACTGGAGGGGCTCTGGGAGTTTGCCCAACCAGTCTACATGTGCTTTGTGGACTTGGAGAAGGCTTTCGACCGGGTCCCTCGGGGGGTCTTGTGGAGGGTGCTGCGGGAGTATGGGGTGCCGGACCCGTTACAATGGGCGATCCGGTCTCTGTACGACTGCAGTAGGAGCTGTGTCCGCATTCTCGGCAATAAGTCACGTTCCCGGTGGGTGTTGGCCTCCGCCAGGGCTGCCCTTTGTCACCGGTCCTGTTCGTGATTTTCATGGACAGGATATCTAGGCGCAGCCTGGGGGCGGAGAACGTCAGTTTCAGGGGTCTCGGGATCGCCTCTCTGCTGTTTGCAGATGATGTGGTCCTGTTAGCCTCCTCGGATCATGACCTCCAGCATTCACTGGGGCGGTTTGCAGCCGAGTGTGAAGCGGCGTGGATGAGAGTTAGCACCTCCAAATCTGAGGCCATGGTTCTCTGCCGGAAACCGGTGGATTGCTCCCTCCAGGTGGGGACGGAGTGCCTACCACAAGCGAAGGAGTTTTAGTATCTCGGGGTCTTGTTCACGAGTGAGGGTAAGATGGAGCGGGTGATCGACAGGCGGATCGGTGCGGCTGCAGCAGTAAAGCAGGCGCTGCACCGGACCATCTTGGTGAGGAGGGAGCTGAGCCGGAAGGCAAAGCTCTCAATTTACCACTCGGTCTACGTTCCTACCCTCACCTATGGTCACGAACTCTGGGTCGTGACCGAAAGGACAAGGTCGCGGCTACAAGCGGCCGAAATGAGTTTCCTCCGTAGGGTGGCCGGGCTCAGCCTTAGAGATAGGGTAAGATGCTCGGTCATCAGCAGGGAGCTTGGAGTTGAGCCGCTACTCCTTCGCGTCGAAAGGAGTTAGCTGAGGTGGTTCGGGCATCTACTTAGGATGCCTCCTGGACGCCTCCCACTGGAGGTTTTCCAGGCACGTCCAACTGGGAAGAGACCCCGGGGAAGACCCAGAACACGCTGGAGAGATTACATCTCCCAGCTGGCCTGGGAACGCCTCGGGATCCCCCAGAATGAGCTGGAACATGTTGCCGGTGAGAGGGAGGTCTGTATCGGCCTGTTTGGCCTGCTGCCACCGCGACCCGACCCCGGATAAGCAGTGGAAAATGGATGGATGGATGGATGGAATAATAAAAATAACTATGAGCTGTTAACACTAGCTCTAAGCAGATTATAATACATCATTACAAATACTAATGACGTGATTTGATTTAATCAATGAAAATACAATCTTTTATTTCCTTATGAATTGTGTACCTTTTTATGAAAAAACACAATAAATTACTTTAACAAAATAAAAGTATAACATTTAGAATTTTTGATGGTTTACAGACTTCAGAGTGGTTGAAATGATTTTTGGGATGGCGGCAAAAAAAAAAGTCTGGCTCCTTGTAGACCAGCTTCTATAATCAAACAACATAGAGATCTGTATCTGACAATATGGATCAATGATCTGCAATTAGTATCAGCGGCAAAAACAAACGTGATCAGGGATCTCTGAAAGTTATATTTACTCCTTTTTTTCTTTTGCGCTGCTCTGATTTGTGATCCGATCTGTGATACAAACAAACTGAGTTTTATGATCCGTTGC